AAACAGAAAGGACTAAAAGAGAACCTGATAACTGTCTTCCAGTCCTGAAGCCAGTTACATGGAAGAGGACATGTCTTCTGGACTGATCTAAAATGTAAATTCCAAAGGGTAAGACTTACGTTCACCTTAGTCTCCCTAGCACAGGGTATAATGTCTGGCACATAGGCACCCTGTCTCTATTTGTCAAATGAATATTTAATATGGTTCTGAAAAGCAAAGTACCAAAGGACATGCTTATGGGAGCAGATTTTATTTCAATATAAAGAATTTTTTCTTTTTTAAATGGGACCTTAATGGGGTTTTCAGAGTTCAGGTAATCAGATCTAGTGTCTTCATATCTATATGTAGGCAAACTAAGGTTTGAAAGTTTTAAGTCAATGGTTATTACCTTGCTCCCTCAATCCATTCATGGGCTTTGAAATCACCGCAACAAGTCACAACTAGTATTTAAAAACACATACCAAAAAAAAAACACACCACATACCATAGAATTTAAAGCAGTAGATAGAAGTTAGTGAAGTACTATTAAGAATTCTTACATGGACTTTTTTGGTTTCAGGTAAGAGTAATATGAAAAACACAAATATATGTGCATTAGCCAATGACATAAAATGTACTTCTTACTGGGGACTTTGATAAGAAAACTGGGGTAAACTGTGTGAAACTGTTCAACATGGGAGATGGCTTCCTCACAGTGGTAAGTTCTATGTTGTTGTTGGTGCAAAGCAGAAGGTCACTCACTTGGGGTGTGGGCACTGGGGAGTGGAGGGTCTAGATATCTGAGGACTATTTCAACCTTCTATACTTTCATTGTAGTTAAATGTTGTATTATATATGTCATGTTTCTTACAGGGGGATCCTGAAATAAATCAACTTCTATTATAAGATGCCAGGATAAGGTCTCATTATGTTTTATTTTAGTCATTCTCAAAGTGATAGAAACTATTGGTTTCAGCTCTATTATTTTAAGTATATTTTATTGTTGGGAATGTGTACCTCTGATATTTAGCCTTTTCTAGTTGAAGAGAGATTAGACTGAGAAATGAGTCCTTTCTCCTAAAGAACTACTGGTCAGGGCCCTCCCTGGTGGCACAATGGGTTAAAGCATAGCACTATGAAGCTGTCCGCAGCCACTGCAGCTCCAGTTCAATACCCTGGCCAGGAAGATGACCCACAAGGCATGGGAGACCTCTCCTGACCTGCCCACTGCTCCCCTTAACAGTGTATTTCAGTCAATCTGCCTGTTCTGCTCCCCACTCTGCCTCTGGTGAATCCTCTCACCCCACTCCACCCACCTCTAGCCTGTACCCCAGTTCTTGCATGGACAAATAAATATATCTTTAAAAAAAAAAAAAGAACTATTGGTCAAAAGCCTGGTTGGGATAGGGAATATGTGAAAAGAGCAAAACAGAATAAGACTTTCACTTTGCTTTTAGGTAATTCTGTTGAAAATGGGCACTTTATCGCGTTTCCTTAGACATCTGTGTTGCATTTGCACTCAGTTCAGTCTTAAAATGGCCAAGGAGCTTCATGGTTGCATGATGGCTCTTAAAATAAAAATGCTGGGGAGCTCCCTGGTTGCGCAGTGGGTTAAGTCTCAGCACTATGAAGCTATGAGAAGCTACTGTAGCACGAGTTCAATCCCGTCTGGGAGCTGACCCACTGGAACTGGAGACCTTTTCTGCCCTGTCCAACCTGCTGCTCCCCTCAGCAGTGTATTTCAGTCAATCTGCCTGTTCTGCTCCCCACTCTGTCTCTGGTGAATCCTCTCACTCCCCTGCCCCCACCTCCACACCTCTGGCCTCTACCCCAGTTCTTGTGTGCATAAATAAATAAAACTTAAAAAAAATGTCAACATATTAATCATATCAGAGAAGCAGTAAAGATACTGGTGCTGTGAGGGAGTAAGTATGGCAAAATCCCATTGATCTAGAAGCCTTCAGGATGACTCAGTCTGGTGGCACTATTTTCTAGGGAGTGGAACCCTAAAAGCTATCAAGTCCTTTATGGACCTGGGCTAAAATAGTCATAGAGGATGGACCAAGATGGCAGGACACGAGGCTCTGACTTTCTCTCCTCTCACCAAAATACAGCTATACACTGACCTGCTCCCTCTGAAAGACATCCAGAAACTAGCTGCATGACTCCCACAGATGAGTGACAGACAAGAGCCACACAGACAGGGAGACAAAGCTGAGACACACACACCACAGACCTCACCCCAGGCTTAGCACCTTACAACCGGGGTGGGGGTAGGGGGGTGAGAGAACTCAATTCCCAGCTGGGATATTACTTTTAGCATTATTTTTCTAGAATCCAAGGCAAAAAAGAAAGCACACAAAAAAAAAGCCAAAAAGGATTTACATAGTATTCACATCATTCCCCAGTAGAAATGAGAATTTTTCTGGCACGACCTTTTAGGAGAATTTGCCATTTGGATTCTTTCATGTTCCTAGAGAACATCTGGACTAATGTAACAGACTTCCTAACTGGTCTCATTGCCTTTGTCCTTCTCCCTCAATTCACCCTGAAGCATGTTATATTTCTGGATTCTGCTGTATAATATTCCCTACTAGCTCCTTCTTGCCTACTGGATTAAGGCCCATGTATCTATGACTGAACTGAAAACACTTGGGGCCCAGGTTCTGCCCATCTCTCCTTGCGCATCTCCTACGACCTGCCTTACCCCACTCTTAACTTACTGGCAGTTCCTGGCACACTATGCCCTTCATGCTGCCAAGCTTTTATACCTGTTGCTCCTGTGCTACAATCAAACCACCATCTCAATCTGAGACGCTTTTTCTCCTTCGGAGTCAGTTCAAATAGGGCCTTCCGGGGGAAGTGTCCTCAGCTTCCCTGGGCCGACGTTAACGGTTGTTCCTCTTTCCTTGACGCCCACTGCACTTGCCTGTTGGGATGCATGTTTCCCTTCTGCGCTATGATATGTGTGTGAGCGGAGACAGAGCTCTGCATATACCCAGTCCCAGGTTGATGCTTTGTATGTCAGAGGCATTCAATAAACAGCTTCACCAGTGAACTTCCTGAACAAAGGTTCTTTATGTGACTTTTACTGTATGTTGTCACTAAAATCAAGGCCATCCCAGAAGTAATTCAATGAAAATATTTCAATGGCAAACTAAGCTAATATGCTTTAAGTCCACTATTCTTTAGATTTTATCTTGAATGGGCCTCAAGCTGATTAGCTGTCCCATTTTTTATGTCTCATGGGATACCGTAAATGACTTTACTGTGACACTTATATACCTGTCAGTTCTTTGAAGGCACAACAATTGTCAATGGAGCTGGGTAGGATCTGGAATATAGGGTAGAAGGGTTGGAGGAAGACTTGATGTGGTATACTTTTTGATATTTTGAGTTTTGAATCCTACGAATACATGAACATAAAAAATTTTAAAGTTTGTCACACAAGTAAGTGAAACATTAACTATCAGTTTTATATTTTAAGAGACCTCAGTTGTAATTCAAGATTTTGAAGTCCTGGGAGCTCTCAGAGTAATGATATTCAGTGTCTTTACTTAAATCAAGATTCAGGGCCTCCCAAGTGGCCTAGGATTTAAATCTCAGTTCTATCACCTCCTGAGTTGGATTCCCATCCAGGGAGGTGACTCTCATGGCATAGGAGACATGTCTCTTTTTCCTGTCTCGCCTGTTGCTCCCCTCAGCAGTGCATTTCAGTAGATCTGCTTGTTCTGCTCCCCACTCTGTCTCTAGTGAATCCTCTCACTACCATGACCTGTCCCTCTGTCCTATACCCCAGTTCTTCTATGCAAAAATAAATAAATCTTTAAAAAGAAATTCACATACTACTGAACAAGTGACAAAGTCACATTCCATTTTAAAAAGTCAAGAGGTTGTATCCTTGGGGAATAGAGAGAGAGAGAGAAAAATCAAGCTACTTCCAGGTGAATGAACAGCTACTGTATTGCAGTAGTGGTTAATACCCTGATGACAGCAGAAATGGAAAGGAAGGAAAAGGTAAAAACATTCAAAGGGGAAATAAGCTCCTGAATCTTGATGGCTGACTATCTGTGAAAGGCTAAGCTATAAAGACAACAGGGATTTTGAAGGCCTAAGTATTTAAAGGCATTGCTATAGATATTAGGAAGTCAGAAGGAAGAATTGGTTCAGAGGAAAAGCAAAGACTCTTATTTAAAGTTCAGTGCTGGAGGTGAGTGGGGAATTACATAGAGTTGGCCAACAAGCCACTGGAAAAGTTGGTCTGAAGTCCCAAAGGGAACGCAGACATAAAGTGCGTGATGTGTCAATATCTGCCAACAGAGAAGGGGCTCGGAGGAAACCCAGGCTGCGACTGTCCACTGCAGTGGAGCAGAGGCCAGTTTAACAGACACACGCACAGGGAGAACCAGAGAGCACTGTGACCCATCAGCCAGGGTGGGCAGACTCAAGAAGCATGGAAGAGGTGCTCAAGGAGAAGCGCCAGGCCACAGGCAAAGGCAAAAGCAGCAGGGCATGGGGTCACTGGGATCCTCACACACACCACATTCCGGCAGGTGGGCCAAGCCCCATTTTACACAAAAGGTCTTAACCCAGGCAGTGGCTGCAAAGCTTGCAGGATGCACCAGCTGAGCAATACTCCTTACCACTGCTGGGGGGTAGGGGCGGGGTGGGGGTGCCAGGGAGATCAGAGTTTGGCCAGCAGTTCTTCCCCTAAATTAACTGTATGTCCAAAGACAAGAAACTACCTTCTCTTCAAATTGAGGGGTTTGGTCTAGATTTTCTCCAGCGCTTATGGAATATTAGCCTTTGAGGAAGGTAGAATGGAAGAGATACATAACCAAAGAGGTAATGAATTAAAAATTTAGCAATAAGTGAGCAGGGACAGAAGATCATACAGTGAACTTTCAAGCAACTAAGGTAAAATCTGATGTAAACTAATGTCAAATCTACAATTGTAAAGCTCTACCTTTTCATGTACGTACTTAAGATAATATAATATCAAGAACTATAATTTTTCATACCTGGAAATTAATGAATGCTGCTCTTAAAATTCTGCCAAGTCAATTGAGTGAAGTAAAAGGGGCAGATCTCAAGTCAAACACAAACTGTGTAAGGATTGTCCTGTAGAAAGAGAAAAGTTAGTTCAAAATGTACTTTTTGTTCCCAAGGTGTACTTTTTTTTTTATTTTATAACAGTTTATTTTTACATCATTTTGTACATTTTTTTTCTCCATCTCAATTGTTCCAAGGTGTACTTTTAATACATTACATGGGAGCACTTACCAGGTATCATTTTCTAGCATGTGAAAATAGACAACCTGTTCAGGAAAATCGGTTTGTTTATAACCTTTACCTTCATATTAAAGTTTGCAAGAAAGATTCCCAATATTTAAATATGTTATGGCAAGCTGAAAGCAAATGTACGCATCTGAACAAAATAAACTTATTAATTAAGACAACATGTATTTAAAGGCAGCCAGAGATGAAGTACCAGGCAACAACATACAGCCTACTGCCTGCTTTCTGCAGTGGGATCAATATGATTTACAAGAAAACAAAACAGATGAACTTTAAAGAATCTTGAAAAATTCAGCACCTTAAAAACTGTATGTGAAAATTTGTATGTTTAAGAGAGAATAGCAAAATAATAATAATAATAACATATGGTTCAGAAAGCTGCATCCCAATCTTTTTTCTCAGATTAAACCCTTAAGACACAATTAATTGATGAATCTCCTTAATAAGTAAAGTGTACTTAGAAAACAATATCAACAACCCAACAGAAAAATGTGCAAAGAATATGAAATTGAAATGGCTTTTAAATACAGAGATGCTGGGCCTTCCTGGCGGCCTAGGGGCTGAGTCCCCACACTATCAGCTGTGGCCTGCGCTCAGTCCTGGTGAGGGAGCTGACCCACAGCGCAGCCAACCTGTCCTGTTTGGCACGCTGCTCCCCTCAGCAGTGTACTTCCGCAGATCCACCTGTTTACTCCCAACTCTGCCTCTGGTGAATCTTCTCACTCCACTCCCCTACTTCCGGCCCAGTTCTTCTAAGCAAAAATTTTTAAAAAGAGGAAGATTTATAAATACAGATTTTCCAAATTCAAAATGATCCTTAGTAGTACAAATGATCAACATAAAATTAAATTTAATGAAAGCATAGGATTTTTGACTATACTTCTAGGAAACACAAATAAAGCTACATTGAGATACTAACTTACCCTACACACCTGCAAGATCAAGCACTGCTAAGGGAAGAGGGACACCAGGGCTGCCCTGGCGTCCATGCAGACATGACTTCCCACTGAGAGAGGTGTGGTGCGCTCTGACCTAGTACTTGTGCAGAAAGGAGGTTAGCCTCCAAATCTGCCTTGGTACAAAGACATTCTTATACAGATAGTCAACTTCACATTGTCTGTTGTTACAAAGACTGGAAAGATCTAAATTTCCACAAACAGGAAACAGGATAAATAAACTGCAGCAGTAATAAAATACAGCAGCCATAAAAATCAATGAGTTCAGGGCCCTCCCTGGTGGCGCAACGGGTTGGGACACAGCACTGCAAGTGAGCCACAGCCACTACAGTGTGAGTTCGATCCCAGCCCCGTGGTGCTCCACATGGCGTGGCAGACTTCTCCTATCTCACCCATTGCTCCCCTCAGCAGTGTACTTCGTTGATCTGCCTATTCTGCTCCCCACTCTGTCTCTGGTGAGGCCTCCCAATGCCCCTGCACCTCTGGCCTGTATCCCAGTTCTTATGCATAAATAAATAAATCTTTAAAAAAAAAATGAGTTTAATAGTCTGTATGTCCCCAACCTACAGCAGTCCCCACAGGGGTTGAGCAGGATGGCTCAAGCTCAGCTTTCTACTCACACTGGATGCACAGACTATCCTGTTGACACACAAGAAACTGGGAGCCAGGCAGGGAGGCCAAGGGTGAGAAGGGCACTGAGTTTTCACCAACCAACACCCTTTGTATTCTGGATTTTTTATTCTGGTATCTAAAGACATTTCTGTTCAATTCTAAGTTGTTGCCTGAACTTGCTAAATTACAAAGCCCCAGCACTCATGGAACTGATGGGGGTCCAAAGACAACATGTTGTAGCCCAGGGTCAGTGGGAGGGGAGGCTTTGGGGAAAAAATATGTAGCAAGAGACTGAGAGAAAGTCTCTTGTTAAGAAACTTTAGCCACACCGGAAACACCTATGAGCACACGACTAGGCCACCACAAGGACATGTCATTCATCAAATGCAGCCTTGCAAAGGCACTGTGGCCAGGGGAACACCCTCACCCAACAGTCGGTGCACAGGTGTGTTCTCTAGTGAAGACTCCCCTCACCTTCAGTTTTGCTTCTAAATAGCCTCGTGATAAAAAATAACCCAGTGGCAGCCCTTTGCGGGAAGAAGAAAGGCACCTACAGCTTGACCATCCCCCGCACAGGGTACATTTCTGTATCAGAAGTGGGCAGGGTAGAACTCCACAGCAAAGGAGCTGAATTGCCCAGAGGCACTCAGCAATGGGTAAGCCAGGCTCAATGGGTAGGAAAGCTCACTAGGAGGAGGCTCCCTTTCGGGTCCCCCAACCCTTAGTAGAGTTCTGTTGACAGTCACTACCGCCATGGCAGCACTTCCTGCGGCTGGAGGGCCATTCTGAGCCCTGAGCACTAATCCCAAATCCCAAGTGAAGGCAACAAAATCTCTGCCTGGCAAACTGCGGTTGGGCAAGGCTTCCTCCTCCCACCTACTGCCCATGCACCTCCACCCTGGGCCAGCCCGTTCTGACCCCAGGACACCAGGAGCAGTGGGCAGGGTCAGCAACCAGAGGGTCTAAGCACCCACCTCCTTAGTGGGCCTCCTCTGCTTCCACCCCAAGGCTCTAGTTGTACACATGGTTCTGGCTTAATCTACTCCATTTGCTCCAGACTGTACCACAATTTGTAACTACAGCATAACAAAATTGCTCGACTTTTTAAGTTGACTATGCAGTTTTGTTACTATAGAGTGCTGCTAAGGCTTTCTGTTCACAGGCAGTGAGAAAATGAGTTTTTCTCACATTTTATTAATTCACTAATTGTTTGCATGACTACGTAACTTGAGGAGTACAACTACACACCTCCACAAGTACATGCTTCACTACCTTCTACCCAAGCCGCAGTAGGGTGTCTTATGCCTTCTTCCCTCTCCCTGCTTCCAACTCTCCCCCAAATCCACATGAGGCTTGTTAACGCTATCAACTAAGTTTTAATCCCACCAAAATAATTTTGACTGAATTAATGCAATCATTAAAATTTGTTATTATAAAATTATACTTACAGAAAATTTAGAAAATACACAGGCAAGTATAAAGAAGAAAACAAACTGAAATCTTTGAAATGAACATTCTGTCAACACCACCAGAGAAAGCAGAACTGCTCAGATACACTTTAAATTAGTAAAGTAAATACATCAACTACCCACTCAGGAGGAATGCTGAATTCTGGTCACGTCAACTATTCAAAGTACTGCCAATCTAGAGGTTTACCAAAAAAATTCTGAGCAACAACCAATAGAGAAAATTGCTAAGAAGATGGGAATATTCCATAAAATGCAATGGGATTCCTGCTAATGATTAGCAAAGGGTAATTTTTAAAAGTTCCATGGTCTCTGTCACTGGGGAGAGTGGAAGAAATAAAAAGAAAATTAAATAAAGAGACCAATGCAAGCAGAAAGCTAAAGCTGGTGGAGCTGGAAAGCAACAAACTCTGGTAGTGGTTATCAACGCGCCCCCAGTCTTACTGAGAAATAACTGACATCAATATCTTTAACTGTCCAATTTATAGTTAAGCACAAAATTGGTTGGGGAAGGATTTTAAGAAACACCTGTAGTTAAAACAGCAGGATCAAATTAAGGCATAAACTAGAATTTTGCATTCAGGGGACAAAAAAATACATATTTTGAGAACTTACAACACTAAAAGTTCACCTATCATGCTCCCCCAAAGAGCTAGGAAGGCACTAGAAAGGGCATTTACTTGGGTAGTTTTAGCTTCTCTATTTTTACAATACCACTTAAGAGCATACCGACTAGTGCTGTCCAGTGTTCTGGTATGCACAGTGACTAGCAGAAGTTAATTCAATGACTTTTTAAGAGAACCAATTTTTTAACATATCTGAGCCCTACAACTGGTCTTACACACTGATAAAATGTCAATTTTAGGGATATCCACACAATTCTACCCTTAAAGGTATTACTTAGAGTAGATTTGTGTAACACAGCATCCTTTCTAACTTCCTTCTGGAAAACTAAAAAGTACATTTCCAGACTCCTTTGAGAGTCTTTGTGGAATTGCATCCATGTGGACTGGGGTCCATGGATCACATGTCCTTCTGCAAGACTTGGAAGGCAGAAGTAAATGGAAGCCATCTTTTTGCTATGTTGTCTGTGAATGCAGCCAGCACATTTATGGAAATGCTGGTTTTTCTGGAGCAGCATTCCTGTGTCCCCTGCTTTGGAGCTTCAGAGCTATTGAGAGACAAGTTTGGTGGCAACAAGGCACCACAACAGTTGGCAAGTGCCGGGGAACAGTTTCAGGGTGGCGATGTATTTGGGTTGTTGTTGTTGTTGAAGATTTATTTACACATACAAGAACAGGCCAGCAGTGCAGGGGGTGAGAGGATTCAACAGAGACAGAGTGGGGAACAGAACAAATGGACTGACTGAAGTACACTGCTGAGGGGAGCAGTGGGTGAGACAGGAGAGGTCTGCTGAGCCTTGTGGGTCAGCTCCCTGGCTTGGAATCAACTCTTGCTGCAGTGGCTGCAGATAGCTTCACAATGCTGCGCTTTAACCCTTTGCACCACCAGAGAGCGCCCAAGGTGACAATGTGTTACCCATGACTGTACCAACAACCTCACCTGACACAGGCGGATTCCCTCCCCAAGAGGGCCTGTTCGCCAGTCTGGTTCTAGGAACAATTTCTTAAGGCCCAGACTGAAGGCCCTTGCAATGATTTGGTAAGCATTCAATTCCCTTTGGTAAACGAATTAAAAACTAGAGTAGTTTTCCTCTGCCTCTGGTGAATCCCCTCACCCCCTGCCCACCTCTGGCTTATACCCCAGCTCTGGTAT